TAAAAATGTATATGGTTACAATGAAATACTTAGCCTGTAAGAGGAAGGAAGCCATTTCTTCTATTTGTCACACAATTGGAAAGACATTGCCTAGTCAGCTGATGGCGCTTCAGAAAGAAAAGAAACTATTTCACGTGTGTGCGGACTTTAAAGAGTCAAATGAATAAAAGCTGGGAACTGAAGAATGGTCACCAGGGTGTGTGTGGAGGGGGAAAAGCGGAAGTGCGAGCCTGCCACAAACTTCTCGAAAGATGAGTTAGTGCTAGAGATGGAGCGCATGACATTTTGCCTGTGGATAACAACCGTACTTCATACACTTAAAATCACCTAAGAGGGAAAGTCCTAATGAACAGGAAGACAGGAAACTTTTGGAGGTGATGGGTTGATGTGTGGATTGTGGTGTTTATTTCAGGGGTACAGTTACTTCCAAATTAATCAAGTTATGTATATTAGATATGTACAACCTTTGTCCACCATACCTCAACCTTTGTCATACTTCAATAAAATGAATTTTTATATATTTAATTTATTATTTTTATTTTATTTGTATGAGCATATTGTCTGCATGTAGGTAAGTGAACCTATGTCATGCAATGCCCGGGGAGGACAGAAGAGGACGTTGGATCTCCTGGAACTGGAGTTATGAACAGTTGTTAGCTGCCATGTAGTGCTGGGATTTGAACCTGGGTCTTCTGCAAGAACAACCAGTGTTCTCAACCTCTGACCCATCTCTCCAGCCCCTCAATAAAATGATTTTTAAAAGTCTAATTTCCACCCTGATCTTGCACTTTCTTCACCTTGCCTAGAACCCCACTTTGCTAAGTTTTCTGGAAGTTTCTGCGTCCTGTAGAGTTCAGCATTATTTTCACTTCATCACATAATCATCTCTGAGCCTTACTGAAAAAGCACAGAGCTTTTCCAGGTTTTCAAACGCAAGGACACACTGGTCTCCTGCACACTGCTGTAACTGTAGCTGTCTGTGTTTCATTGTGGCAGTACATTTTAATATCACAGTTCCAAATTCATTCTCCTTTAAGCCCTAATTATTATAACTATGACTTTTATCCAGGACAGTAACCAACAACCCAACAAACAAATTCTTCAGTTTTCTTTCCTCCTTGATATGTCATAAATTTCCATGAGATATAATTAGAATTTGGGGAATGTTATTTATTTTCAAATGCAGAGGAATGCTTAATCATGAGATGGATACAAGGTTGAAAGGAAGTAGCTGTTTTGCATCTCTGATATTGTAAATAAAAAAGCACAGGACTACAACACCAAGAGCCACAGAGAAGTGAGGGAGAGCTTGTTCCTCTGAGGCCAGCATCTCACTGCCTAACTTGCCCTGGACTCTGTACTCCAAATTCCTCATTGTGTGAGAAAAGAGTAGATCACAAATAGATACATAGTGTCTCAGTCTCCTCATTGGGTACAAACACATACAAGGCCAGGAACACTGTAACATTTCTTTTTTCTTATAGCTTCACACTAATATTTCTTAGTTGAACACTATCAACGTTTTGGCCTGGATAATTTTTTTAGACTTCGGGGGCTTTAGGATGCTTCAGGACATGCCAGGCCTCTGCCTACTAGATGGCAGCAGCACTTGGGATAGCCAAAAGTCTGCTAGAGACAAAAATTGTCCTCAGTAGAGAGTCAGAGTCTTAAATGCTGGAGTTACTGTTTAGGATAGTTAATAGTGAGTGTTCTAACAAAATGGTTAATTAATTAGACACGAGAATTCAATAATGTGGGAGAAGTCTATCTAGGATGTCTTCCAAATTTGTCTCTTGGGCTAGAAATTATAACTTTTAAGCTGGGCAATGTGGTACATGCTTTTAATTCCAGCACTTGGGAGGCAGAGGCAGGCAGATCTCTGTGAGATCAAGGCCAGCCTGCTCTACATAATGAGTTCTAGTCAGTCAAGGCTACAGAGCGAGATCCTGTCTCAAAAACACAAAATAAATATATAAAGTTAATTATATCTTTTAAATAAAAATGATGTAGCAGATTGTAATTTTCAATGTTTCCCTTAAAATGTGGTCTCAAGGTTGAATAAATACTCCAGAAGAGACTTTTATACATAACAGGTTTCTGCTTGTGTATGCCTGCATGTAAGTGCACCATGGAGGTCAAAAGAGGGCATTGAATTCCCTGGAACTGGAGTTGCCGAAGGTCTTAGCTGCAGAGTGGGTGCTGGGATTTGAACCCTGGGTCCTCTGCAAGAGCAGTCAGTGCTCTATCTGTTGAGCCATCTTTTCAGACCCAATTCACTATGCTTTGTAAGAGAACGTAAGGGAGAGTAAGAGTGCCATCTCTTCAACACAACGGATGACTATTTGTCATGAACTATGCAGCATATTTTAGAATGAGAGATAGTCACTTGATCAAGATAATTCATAAGTTCTTTCAGAGCTGGATAAGAGTGTGCACGAAAAATAACGTGACAAACGTGTCTGTGTCTTTAAGGTGATGAGGGCAGTGCGCTCACAGAATTATTTGTAATCACTGTACATTTGGGGGCAGGCCTTTTCTTTCCCACGAACTGTTCCAGCTTTAACTCTTCCAGCCTCTCCTCCCACCATCCCTCACCGATATTCTTTACAGCTCTCACGGTACTTTCATCTTCCGAGACGTACGTAGCTCACGTGTGGCCTCCTCCCACTCCCCGTGTTCTACAGAATGAATTCCAAAATGCTTCGGACTACACGTAGGGCATTCTGTGGATTTATTCTCAATCAATCTTTCTGCTCTCCTCCATGAAAACTGCCGAGGCCGCATTGACCTACTTTATATTTTTGAATGTTCTGTGCTCTTTCAAACTTCTGTGCCTTTGCTCACGCTGTCATTCTGAAAAGAATGCCCTTCTCTCCTTTTATATGTGGTAAATCCATTGGCATTCCTAGAAGCTGAAGTCAAGTCTGACCTTCTCAATCCTGACTTTCTCCAAAAATTCATAGAACTTTGAACTATCATGGAAATTTAGTATATATTTAATAAATGTTTCCAGAATGACTAATCATTAAATCTCCAAAATACCAAGCGAGAGTGTTTATAGTTTTATTGGTAGTCTATGCCAAAAATTTTGCTATATATCTAAAATATTAGAAACATTTTTTTTGGTCTTTTTTTGAAGCAGGGTCTCCCTGTAGCCCCAGCTGTCCTGGAACTCACTATGTAGACCAGGATGCCCTTGAACTCACAGAGATCCGCCTGCCTCTGCCTCCTAAGTGCTGGGACTACAGGCGTGCGCTACCACGCCTGGCTTGAAACATATATTTTAATACATTATGTATGTTGAAGACAATCAATTCAATAATGTTACTTGAAAATTTTAAAAGTCCTGTTTTTTAATTATGTCCTTTAATATACTCTGTTGCACATCTTGTCTACATAGCCTTAATATTACTTAAAATAAAGAAATGCAGTAATTATTTGGAGATATATCACTTTAATCTTGTTTGTATGTACTAAGCTGAGAATATCACAGTGGCCGTGTTCTATGGGGTGTATTATTACTATTATTTCTTTTTACTAATTCGAAGTAAAATATTTGTTTATGACTAGCCTGAATTCATCTTAGGAATATTGCTTCACAGCACAGAGTAAACAACAAGATGGAAATACGTGTTAGAATACAAGGAGGAGGCTGGAGAGATGGCTCGGTGGTTGCAAGTGCTCACTGCTCTTGCAGAGGACCCAGGTTTCCTTCTCTCATTCCACATTGCAGTTGACAACCACCTGTGACTCCAGTTTCAGTGGATCTGGCTCCCTCTTCTGGCCTCCACTGGTACTGCATGCACATGGCACACATGTAGGCAAAACGCTCATACACGTAAAGTAAAACTAAATAAATCTTAAAAGAATACAAAGAAAAGGCTGGATATGGTGGTGCATATCGTTCATCCCAGCACTCAGGAGGCAAAGGCAGGCAGATCCAGTGAGTTCAAGACCAGCTGGTTTATATAGTAAGTTTCAGGCCAGCCAGGGCAACAAAGTGAGACCCTGTTTGAAAAACAAAAAACTCATCAAACAAGAATATAAGGAGAAAATAGCATTCTGGAAAAACTGGAAGCAATGAAATAATTTTGTAATAAGTGTTTTATTTTGAAATACAGAGGCTGATAAACAATAGGAGAAGCATTAAACGAAACACAATGACTACAACACGATCTGCAGAACACCCTGAAATCTGTTCTTATCTTTACGTCCCCTCTGCAGATGCCTAAGATGCTAGAAGAATGAGGAGGTGAAATGTGGGAAGGGCAGCTCCTCCTCCAGAGGACTGGGAAGTCTGGGAACACAGTGGCAGACAGTAGTTCTCCCCACAGGTGACAGGAGCTCTCACCTCTGCAAAGTGTGACAAATATTATGACTTTGCTGTGGCCTTGAACCTGAGACTTAATATGTGCAGACAAAAAATGAAACCTATTTGAAAAAGCTAATCAGGGTCTCATTTATTTACAACTGCACACAATTTATTTTAATTAAGTAATGTGACTGCCTTTGTATCTGTTGACCAGTGTCAATAGTGGCAATGCATTCACATGCTATCCTTAGAAAGGGCCACTCATGTATCCAAAACATATTTTCCATCAAAATCGTTTTCTTTTCCACATAAAGCATAGCAGCTTATTTACAGCAGTCAGCCATTTTTAAGATCATAACCAAGCTCATCATGTTTTCTCCTCAGATATGGAGTACAATTTTATTTTACTTTTTATTTTTTGTTTTTTTTGAAGCAGCATCCCACTATGCAGCCCTGCCTGGCCTGGAACTCGCTATGTAGACTGGGCTGGCTTGGAACTCACAGAGATCCTCCTACGTCTGTCTCCCGAGTACTGGAATTAAATGCCTGGCTAGTGCACTATTGTAAATAGAACTAATAATTCTCACTGAAAAAATTCTGAATTACCATCTCTGAAAAATGATGATTTAATTTCAACATATGTTTATGTATGAAATAAAGTAACATAGCAAAAGAAAATATAGTTGGTAACTGCATTGATGGTACTAAGGCGGGTGCTGTGTTCAGACCATGGACTGATTAGGATTTGGGAGTTCCTCATATTCCTCCGCATAGCGTTGATAGTGATCAGTGAGGAGGGGCTGATTGGTTTCGTCCTTGATGTTTCTGGAACGGATCAGACAAGAAGCACCCACAAAAATGAGTGCTACAAGCAACAGCGCAGCAATCACTGCAATGGAAATGATCTCAGATATGGCAAATTCCTGACCTGTGTGAAAAATAAGACGGAAGCAAAGAAACATTAAAATAATTACCAACAACATTGAACATCTCAAATTTCAAGACACTTTTAAGAGAAATCCTCACAGTTTTTACTGGCCATCCTGCTTAGGATAGCACTGGTTATCTTGAGGGTACTTTCTGATTCTATGAGTGAGTCATAGTGGGACTTATTATCATTTCCCTTCTAAATTCAAAGAAATGAGTCCTCAAAGTGTTTGAGACCCTGCCGAAAGCCAACAGGCTAGTAGGAAGGGCAGCTGGTTTTGGAGCCTAGGTTTTTCAAGTCCCCAGTTCTGTTGTCTTTTACCGTGTTCTGTTGCCTTTATCGAGAAAGATTTAAAAATCAAAAGTCTTGGATTTCAAAATCTCAGAAGCAGCAGTTTAGAATATCTCAAACTTTCTTCATTTATAAATACAAGCAAGCAGCATGGTCTCATGGAAAAATTGACATTATGGAGGTCTAGGCTCAAAACTCATTCTCTCCTTCATTGGAAATTCAGCCTTTAAGAATTAACTTCTGGGGCTGAAGAATGGCTCAGCAGTTCAGAGCACCGACTGCTCTTCAAGAGGACCCTGGCTCAGTTCCCAGCACCCATATGACAGCTAACGACTATCCTTAACTCCACTTCCAGGGCATCCAGCGCCCTCTTCTAGCTTCCACCAACACTGCATGCATGTGGTGCACGTACATCCATGCAGGCAAAACACTCATACACATAAAATAAAAGTAAAAATAAAAAAGAGTTAACTTCTAGGTTTGAGCTTCCTTATTTGAAAATGAGAAATATAATACTTGCCTCCACAGACTTCGAGGATTAAGTGAGATACACACTGAACAGTTAGCTTAATGCTGGATCAGCATGAACGCTCAATAAGAGACAAATTCTTTTCAATCCATCAGAAAGGTTTATATCCAATGGAACCTGTCAGCTTCAGAATGCTGTGACAACCTTACTTTAAAGATGACAGATTTGCTTTCGGAGAATACCACAGTGAAAACAGACTTTCAACACTGACCTGGCCATTGAACGTCATAAGCATATCCCAGGTTGTCTGGAGCAGTAACAAACATTTCCGTGTTGGTAACTGGAGGCCAGAATGGTACCATATTATATTGTCTATTATGTCCAATGGGAGCATTTTCCAATGGGAAGGTAGATATATCTAAAATAGTCCCAAGACAACTTGTTAAGAGACACAGGTTAGCAGTAGAGTCACTGTTGTATTTTGCAGATGCCTACTCTACAAGGAGCCCATGAGAAGTTCTTCCTACGATGCACCGAGTGAAGAGTGAAGGAGCTTCATGACGGCAAACGACAGCATGAACCGAAATGTTTTGAATGCAGTACCAACAATTCACTTGACAGAAAAAGACTAAAGGCAGGAAGATTTTCGTATGCTATCATAGAAGACGGCCATTCATTTTTTGCCTTTAAATTATAGATGCTAATTTAAATAAGACCCATTAAACCTTTTTCAGAGTCAGATACTCTTCCTTTTATATGTCAGAGTCTGTAAGTCAAATCTGAGAGCTAGTTGACATTAACTACAAATATATCTGCTTAATACCTTTTCTGTTTATATATTTAGAGAAATCAATATTAAATACATTCCCATGTTTCACCGTTAGCAAAATGTTCTAAAATTTGAATCTGATTTCTAGACCCCAACTTGCTTCTTGCCGTCCTTGGCTTTCTATCTGAGTCAACCCCATAAACAGAAGACATTTACTTTATGAGGCTCTGCCATCAAAGATGAAGTAGCAACAGATTCTTCGTGCCAAAGCTTTCTGTTTTTATTGTTAATTCTATATTTGTTATTAATTTTCTTCTTAATTCTATATTCTATACAAGTAACTATCAAAGGCAATAGCACAGAACCAGTGTTGGAACTATGCTTAGGTGAGGCACTAATGGGAATTTATTTACAACAGCTACAATATAGAGGAAGCCAGTCAGATATTAGGTGTTCTGTTTGGAGGCATCTAGTTTGAGGAAACATCAGTACTATTCCTAGTATGCCTGGAAGATGGCATTTGTATTTCTGACCTTTCTTTTACTGCACTAAAGCTAACCGAAGGTTTACTAAGGCATACTGCGTGCCTACTAGTGCCAGACATTGGTCTAGACAGTGGGCCTATAACAGCTGAATGAAACATCCAAATTCCTGTCTTCAAGGAACTCACATTCTGCTATAATATTAGTAGCTATCAGTAAAAGTTACACGTTGAGTTTATAATTCAAGCACAATTTAAAACTCTCCAGCTCACCTTTCTCCTGAATCCTGACTTGACCACTCTCAAGTCAGTTTGTTTTAAGCTTTGTGATAAAGTTCACTAAAATGGGCAAAGGAATAATTGTAAAAATAACAATCACAATTGGGTTATCATGTATCTTCTCTGTGCAAGATCCTTCTAAAGATCCCCATTTCTCTGGCAGTGAAACCCACTGATCTTGAGCCTCTAAAAGACCGTTTTCTACCGGCCTCCCTCTCCCGCTGACCTCTTCCCTGCTCTGCTCTGGCCACATCAGGCTCCTTTCTGTTCTCTCTCAGGATGCTCCTCTTCTCTTTGTCTAAGTAGCACTCCCAAGTTTTATTTTCTGATTTTATTTATCTACAAAGACTTTCTACCACACACCACATATTGGTTTACATTTGACTGTTGTAATTTATACTAACAGGCAGGAAAATTCCAGGAGACAATTGCTTTTTCTGAGTTTCACATGCCACTTCCAGTCCCTTGAACACGGTCTAGGAAGCATTAGATGCTCAGTTAACAAGAGAGAAAACATATCTGTCTTTCTGAGGCTGGCTTAATTATCTTCAGTTACTTTTACTTTCCTGCAAATAACATGACCTCATTCTCCTTTATGGCTGATACAAATTCCATTGTGTGTGTATATACTACATTTTCTTTATTCCTCTGTTGTAGAACATCTAGTTTGGTTCCATAACTTAGCTATTGTGAATAGTGCTGCAATAAACATTGATGAATAAGTAAAAGAAATAAAGAACTTGACACTATAAGTTACCAAAAAATTCATTGTGCTTTGTTGTTATGTATGTAAATATTCATGAAACAGAAGCAGAACACTAATTACTACATTCATAAGAGTTTGACAACTGAGCAAGCGTTTATGTGTAAGTTACCTATCTGGTTTGTCTTTATTGAGATTTAGTTTCTTTTTATAGTACAGGATGTCCTTGAACTCTAGATCTTCTGTCTCAAGGTCCTAAGTGTTAAAATTGTAGACACACTACTACATTTGGCAAATTATTTGTTTCTTATATAATTTCTGATGGAATAAACTAATGATCTGGAACAGATTGCAATAAAGTTTCTTATTATACACAAAAACGCAGGAAAATAAGAGGCTGGTCTCAGGGGTAGATCGAGCAATAGAGAGCTAACCTCCAATACCATGTTTGTGTGCGTCATAAACGCACAGAAGCAAAATTAGAACATTTCCCAAGCATGAAAATTTAAGATGTCTAAACTTTCATGGCTATAAGAAGCAGTACATTCTCTTAGCTGAGTAAGGGTGCAGAAAGTGAGGCCTTTAAAACAATATTTTAAACAATTTGCTGAAACAAACTTAAAAGAGATTTCCCACAGTGGACATAAAAATCGTTAACTTTTCAAGTTGAGCAAACTTTCCATTTCTGTTAGGCCATACAATAACAAAACTTAAAACTGTGGATTACGGTTATGGATTGTTTTGTCTTTTGTGACATCCAAGGAGAGATCACATACTTCCATTTATATAAAAAGCAAGGAGAATGTTTGTTGGAAAATATGAGTAAGGAAAATCTGAGTAATATGGTAGCCACCTTTTCATAAGAAAATTGAGAAGGAATTACCTGGTTAGTCACCCTGTCAATGATAGTGTCATCTTAAAGTTAACTATACTGAGAGACTTCTGCAGTTCCAGAGCGGTTTTGAATATTTGGAATTGGCTACAGCTATTTCATCCTTATTTTGGAGCCTATTCTATGGGTGTCAAGCACTAGTTTAAATTGATAAGCATGCCATTGGAATATTCCATTTGCAGAGCTTCCAAAAAGAAGATGCAAGTGTCTCACCAGCATTGTGTCTCCTGAGCCATTCATCAAAGACCGCATCAGTGAAGGTGTGCAGGAGGACAAAGATAGGATCATTGGGAGACAGATGGGTTTGTCCTCCTGTTCCATTCAGGAAGAGGTGGGCCAAATTGTGAAGGCTTCGAACTGCAGGGTTGTATTTCCCTGTGGGGTCACTGTAACCTAGATTTAAAGGAGAGATGAAGATAGTAGAAAACACTCTGAGTCAAGAGTGGTGATTATAATAAGAAACAGTTTCTCCAAAGCTTGTTAGTCTAAATATTGCCTTAGTGTAATCACACTGCCCCTCTGTAGTGATGGCTGATGGCATTTGCTTGCTCTACTCAGAACTAGTTAGTTCTAAGGCGCTAATACAGCTTTCTAAATGTAGCTTCTGGGTTAACAATAATGGCCTGCAAAGGACAATGGTCAGAACACACAGACTGCTGAATTTTGACAAGGCAGACATTGTTCTACATGCAAATGAAGCTAGTGAAATCTCCCAGGTTTGCTCAAAGCTGTTGCCACCAGTGGAGAACACTGTCCTGGAACCTGAATTGCCAGCTGTTACCTACTGTCCTACCATCCTCTTTTTCAACGAATGTCAGCATATTGACTTTTAGGAAATTTTTGTTATGGGGAAGCTAAAATGCCCCAGCATTTCCCTTCTATTTCTGCACTACTCTTAAACATCTTGAAAGAGTACTGTCAAAATATTTAGAGGATTTTCATATCTCTGTATAGTAGACAGATAAAGGTAAATGCAGAATTGGTCAGAAACCGATTTGGAGGGCTGTGATGTGGGATAGAGTTAAGTGTGTCTGATGGGGTTGAAGCACCATGTATGTTGCAGCCATTCATTCATTCATTCATTCATTCATTCACTCATTCATGGATTTTTCATACATTTATTTCCTAATTTTTTTGATTCTATACTTTTTTTTTTTAGAAATAAGTACTTATAATCTTATAGATAGCAGTTTAGTCAAAATGTAGTAAGTGCTGAATCAGTTCTGTCACTGACTTAATAAAATCTAAATGAATATAAGGAGTGCACACAATTTTGATAATAAAAGGGACTAAAATTAAAAATAATCATTAGATTTACATATCATGTGTCTCATATCATGGAAGAAGGCCTTTCTTTTCTATTTGAAGGGGGTAGAGAACATCTAACGTGAAATGCTAATTAACACTGAAGGTAAATTTCAACAGTAACAAGTTCAGTACAAAGTTAAAAATAACTGTATTCATTTACAAAGTCGAATATATTATCATATGGCACATCATAGTAAAAACACTAAATATACAAAACAAAGAGACAATACTGTTAGTGCTGTTGAATGAGGAAAACCAGGCTGAAAATTAATAGATGCTGATTTCAATATTTATGGACCTTAAAAGTGTTTACAAGATGTTACAACCTAAATAAAACATGCCCAAATCAGACTTTCCAGACTGTCAGCTAATTGGAACTTAAAAAAATATTAATCTTACTTTCCTAAAGAAATAATTTTATTGGTATTCAAGTCTCAGTATCTGTTAATGCTAGAGCTTCATATAATTACATATGTTGGCTGGATAACTGCCAGAAAAAAAAATTTAGTTTTTCACTATTTAAAAGAATAATCTCCAATGGCTTCTTCTGTGATAATCAATAAAGTCTGATTTTTTTAAAGCAAAAGTTCTTTTTTGAGCAGTAAATTGTGACTGAATCACAGTAAACAGCTGGTTCATATACACTCCGTGGCCAACATGGCCCGAAGCCTTTTTAAAGACATCCAATTTGGGGCATTTCAGCATCCTTTCCTGACTAGGTTAATTCAAAATGCCAATTTTCTTTACTTACCTTCTACCGTGTTTCGAAAACTGTTTGAAGAATTGGAATAAAAAGGAGGTGTGTCAAACACACCCACCTCTAAGCACTGAGTGACATCCTGTGCTGCAGGAAGACGCTGCACCATTGGTCTGTCCACATTTCCAGCTGGATTTCTCCTGATGGGCCCACCCTCGGTGCCTAGGCAGGAACAGGGCATGCAAACAGTTAAAGGGCATCTCCAGGGCTGAGCACTGCTCTCCACAATCTTACACACAACACAAACACTAAACGATTAGTCTTCCAGAGGAGAAATTAGAAAATACATGCTCAGTGCCTTACAGTGAAAAACATCCTAGGGATGAGTTAAAAAGATACATGATATACAAAGATCTCTGAAGGTCTGGGCTGGAGAGGTCGCTCAGTGGTTAGGACATGCACCGCCATTGCAGAGGACCTGAGTTTGGTTCCCAGCATCCAAGTCTAATGGCTCACAACGGCCAGTAACTCCAGCCCTAGGGGCATCCAAGGCCTCTGTCCTCCTCAGGCCCCTGTACTCGTGGGCACACACACACACACACACACACACACACACACACACACAATTAAAAGATAAAAATCTTCAAAGTCTGAAGGAAAAAAATGATTAGCAGACAGGGGCCCTAGTGTTTGTTAAAGTGCAACACGCTTCATCACAAGAATGTAATACAGCGAGAAACTGAATTTGGTTAAAAATATCTCACAAACCTAAATTCCAGACTAAAATCTATACTTCACATATGTATGAAATTTTGCACCCAAATGCCATCTGTTTTAAATCTTCAAAGAAATAATAAGGAAAAAAAACCCCATAAATCTCCTTGGAGAACTGTGAATATTTCAATCAACAAAACTGTCTGCCATTTCCATCGCTTAATGTAATAATTAAGGTTTTACAAGGGTAGGTACAAACAGGTTAATACAAAGATGTACTAGGTATAGATAATGTATAGGTGCTTTAAGGGAGGAGAGAGATAGATAGATAGATAGATGATAGATTATAGGTAGCTAAGAGAGAGAGAGAGAGAGAGAGAGAGAGAGAGAGAGAGAGAGAATAAAGAATAAATATACAAAGAATCCTGAAGGATTAGACATTTTCACAGAGAAAGTTAGAGAAATTTTGCGAGGAAGTATGTAGAGGGAGGGACTATGCAGAATCATAAACTTTGTAACAAGAATCTCACCAGAACATGAACTCTCACCAAGTTCTTGGCACAGTATATGGGATTTTCTAGGTGACAAGGAGTTTTTTGCAAACTGTTGATAGAAAGGATCATGTAGCTGTGAAAAGGGAGCTGCTTGGATAAAAGCTTGCTTGGAGCATAGCAGCCTGTAGGGCTAATGTGGAAGTAGGCCGGAGCCATATTATGAAGAAATCAGGCACTAAGTTTAGAAGGTCATACTTGGGCTGGAGAGATGGCTCCTCAGTTAAGAGTGTTTGCTGCTCTTCCCAAGGACTGGAGTTCAATTCCCAGCTTCTACATGTGGTGGCTCCTAACCACCTAGAACTCTGGCTCCAGGGAATCTGATCTCCACAGGCACCTACACACATGTGGCAAAGCAACACGCATATGTGGAAACACACAGATAAATATTTTTAAAAGGGGTTGTACTTATTCATTAGGTGGTGAAAAGAAATTGGAGCCTTAGGTGGAAAGTGGGGTTAGAAGCACTTTGCATCAGTATAGCCGGACCTCCAGAAACAAATACCCCAAATGGAGCAGGCAGATAATCCCAACTTCAACTCCTATTCTTTCCCTTCATTTATAAACATCCTACATTAAACTCCTAGCATAATGCTTCATACCTAGTGCATTAGCATAGCAATATTTAAATACCATAGAAACAAAACACAGACCTATATTGGGATTGGAGTATTCATGTACATTTCTTGTATGTAGGCTGTCATAAGATTGTTTTTCACACACTAGTAGCTCTAAACCATGAGTTTAAGATGATATTTTGGGGACTACTATTCAGGGGTTATCAATAAATTCCAAAGGAAAGTACTGACAACTTGGGTTTTAATATAGTCTTCTTAATTTACCTTTGTGGGGTTTCATGGTATAGACCTTGGGTAGTAAGATACTAGTTGAGGCAGTTTGATTCTATCCAAGTGATTTTTAAATTAGTTTGCACATGGACAACCTCTGCCAGTACAGTTATAACATCCTATAGGGTACGTAGAACAGCCCTGTGAAATTTCCACATAGAAATGAATGGGAAGCTCAGAACATGTGAGGGAAAATAGATTTGAAAACTACTCTGAAGAAGAAAAACCAATGCTTTTCACATAGTGAAGCAAGAGGATATCTTAAGGGCTCAAAGAATGTTAGGTGTCACTAACTCACTTTTTAATCTACTAAATTCAGTGTAACAAGCATATAACAATGTAAGTATGCAATATCTAAGGAAGAATTGCACTAGGGGTGTGGATGTGTGAGTCTCCTGAAGATGATGACAAAACTATAGAAATGGACAAGATTTTCTAGGAAAAAATAGAAAAGAAAGAATTTCTACGAGAATTGAACAAGGTACATGATGAGAATCTCACACTGTATCAGACACAGGATATGGTTGACAAAAATCTTGTTTCCCTTTCTTCTTTACCATGCTTAACTTTTAAAATTTTACTTATTTGGGTACACACACACACACACACACACACACACACACACACACACAGAGGAGGAGGACAATCTTTAGGAGTTGGCTCTCTCCTTCCACTCTGTAGGTCCTAGGACTCAAACTCATATTGCCGGGCTTGGAAACACGATGGCTCTTCCTGAACCGGCTCACCAGCCATTTTTACCATGTTGAATAAATACACCACTGGATTGTCATATCTGCAACTGCAACAATGAATCATCTTTTAAAAATATTTATTTTTATTTTATGTGTATGAGTGTATTGCCTGCATGTATGTGAGTGCACCCATGTTGTGCAATGCCCAAAGAGTGGATCCTCCAGAACTGGAATTAAGGATGGTTGTTAGCCACCATATGGGTGCTGGGAAGTGAACCTGGGTCCTCTGTAAGAGCAGCCAGTGCTCTTAATTTCTGAGCCATCTCTCCAGCCCTTATTATTTTTCTTAATTTTATGTGTATGAGATTATTGCTTGTGCATAAGTGCACCCATGTCATGCAATGCCCATGGAGGTCAGACAAGGGCATTGGACCCCTTGACACTGGAGTTATGGATGGTTGTTAGCTGCCCTGTGAGTGTTGGGATTCGAATGTGGGTCCTCTACAAGAGCAGCCAGTGCTCTTTGGTCCTCTGCAGGACCAACCAGTGCTCTTAACTATAGAGTCACCAGTCCAGACCCAATAATGGATAATCTGAAATTTGCTTAATACAAAATAAATAATCCTCAACTTTTCATGAAGCTACATTTTTGAAGTTTTGAGACTTGTCAAATTGAGTTTTAGAAAAAAATCCCACAGGGCTTGAGAGATGGCTCAGTGGCTAAGAACACTGGTTGTTCTTGCAGAAGATTCGGGTTCAAATCCCAGCATCCACATGGCAGCTAACAACTGTCCATAACTCCAGTTCCAAGGGATCCGACAACCTGTTCTGACCTCTGTGGGCATTGCACGACACGGGTGCACTTACCTACATGCAGGCAATATACGCAAACACAAAATAAAAATAATAAATAAAAGAAAAAAGAAAAAACGCAACAAAATAAAATATTCTTTACTGTTCTCCACTTAGGCCGTATTTTCATTTACCCCTTTAAATTATTCTTTATAGGCTGGGAGGATAGCTTAGTCAGTAAAGTGCTTGAGGACCTAAGTTTGACACCCAGAATCTACATAAAAGAAAACTAGGGGAGCTGGCTCTCTTGTAATACCAGCACTGGGAGAGGCAGGCGGATCCCTGAGGCTTGCTTGCCTTGCTGCCTGATGAGCCCCTGGACACAGAAACTCTGCCTCAAAAGTGGGGCATGGTGGCACACACCTTAATCCCAGCACATGGGAGGGAGGCAGAGGCAGGTGGTTCTCTGTGATAGAGGCTAAAGAGCAACACTTGAGGTTGTCCTCTGGCTTCTGTACACATGTGCACTGCACATACATGAACATGCATGCACGTACACTTATACACTGATGATGGTTTATTTTGGTATCTAATCATGAACATGACTGAAAATAGTTAGAAAATGCCCAGACTCAAATACCATCTTTTTCTGGTGGGAAAAAGATGGATGTGTTGGTATTTGAAGGTACTCTGATCTTCAATTCCATTCCTCTGTCACAAGGTGGGACCACTTACTCATCATGTTGAACTTCCACAGGGAAACTTTATAAACTATTACATTTCTTACAGTAATACAAAGCTAAATGATTTTCTACTGGCAAAAAATATACTTAGCTCTTTTTGCTATATTTAAACTACTCCTTTCAAGTGTATGAGATAAAGTTGATGCACAAAATGTGTGCAGAATAATATAACTGTAGGAAAATACATTACTGAACTTCTAATTTTTATATGGAAGAACAAATGTCCAATAAATCCTGAAAGACCTGAAGAACAGAAAGATAAGGTACAGTAGATAACACCAATGATTCACACCTGTAGCACAGGGAAGATAATATAGTTCAAGGAAGAAAACGGTGAGTTCATGAACAACCCTGTGCTAGAGGCATCACATCCTGCAGAGAGGATCCTGATACAACAGGTGTGCACTTGGGTTCGGTGGGAAGAGCTGAAAGCAGACAGCCTGGTAGGCATCGCCTGGTACAGTATCTTCCTTTTCTCAAAGGTAGTCCCTAAACCCCATTTTGGTTTTGAAATCTCTGACTAAATAGGCATGCAAGCCTTTTCTTCTCTCCTCTGCTCATGCCTCCCCTTTCGACTTGGGCGCATTTCCAACCATTTTTACATATTTCAGATTTTCCTGGGAAAAACTTTCAGTGAAATTCCGACCCAAGATGCATGACAGATAAGCAGTGCTGGGCCTATTAAGAGGATCCTTGAGGATAAAGACATTCACATTCACTGACCAAACTGTTGAAGAAAACCAACCAAATACACAGGTGCTTTTGTTTTCTAGGAGCGCCGTGTAGATACTGCCTTGGCTCCTGGATGTTCAGTGTGCATCTGCACTGACTCTTTAATGACTGAGCAGATTTCATTCTGAAGATGTGCCTTCCAGCCAGTACAACCTCCTTATCTAAAGAGGAACTCTAAGTATGAGCTGTCTTCTGGGACTTACTGTTACAAAGGGTTCCCAGGGTATCATAGTCTTCCAAGGATTCGCAGACCACTCTCCATTGAGAAAAAACAGAGTTGGGGCTTATAAGAGTTGGATCAAAGTTGCTTCGAGATCCCATCAGATCATCCGTGCAGACATCGCAGATGTTTTTCCCAGTTGCAAAATTCCAGTACGGAAGGGAGAAAGAAGGCTCCTGCAGCATTTCCTGAATCACAGAATCCTGTTAGTAAGTGCTCGCCGGCTCTGTTTACATTGTCTCCTGGCTTGCTCTGCTCTGACATTCATTTCCTTCAGCTCTTTCTTAACCACTAAGGAACCAGTTAGTATATTAATGTCTGCAGAGCCCAAGAATCTAAACATCTTAACTAAATTTGTAGGGCTGGAGAGATGGCTCAGCGGTTAAGAGCACTGGCTGCTCTTACAGAAGACCTAGGTTTGAGTCCCAGCACCTACATGGTAGCTAACAACCACCTGTAACTCCAGTTTCAGGGGATCTGATGCCCTCTTCTGGCCTCCTTGGTCACTGCACAATACAGGTGCACTTACATGGAGGCATAACACTCATACACGTAAAAATGAAAATAAAAATTACAGCCAATTTTGAAACAGATGCATCTTTGCTCTGGAAACTTACTGACTATGTCAATGCTGTTGTAAGGAAATGCTTCAACTAATTATGTGGTTATCATATAAATTTTTAAAAATTAAAAAACTTAAAAACATAAAGGCAAATGAATAAAAAGTTTTAACTAAGTTTATAATTTAGGCAGTAGAGGCAATGACACTCACTTCATGCAGAAATTTCTACGAATAATTTTTGGGGAAGAATTCTTTTCCTTCATTGGCAGATAATTACATTTCTGTTGGTTATATCAAAATTACACTAATACCTACTTCTTAATATTTCTCACTTCTGTTTTCCTACTTTTAACTTAAGCACCACAGGCACTTAATAAGGTGTAACCTCAGCTTTGAAATGTTTGTAGAACAGTGATTTTTTTGTTTTATTTTTATTTTTAATTTGAGTGATTACAGTTAGGTAGATTCTGGTTTGAGGACAGACCACAAGTTTTCTTTCACACTTTATCTGCCAAGCACTGAAGGTGTTTTATTTAGAGACTCATGCTCTAAATCTAAACTGGTAAGACACAGGCTTCTGCCTGAAACTCATAAGACAGAAGCTAAACAGAAGCAGAAAAAATTCTGCGCCTATTGTTCCCGAGACCAGTGACCTAGTTCCCATTTAGAAATGATCTCACACTTTCAGAAATGTTTAAGCCCAAGATCACATGCTTATTTCATTGGGCTCCTTAAGGCGTGTTCCTCCTTCCTTCACATTCTTCTGGCCTTTGGGGAGTTGCATTCAGAGGGTAAGAGTTAATGTGGAGCTGCCTCGGCCTTCTCATGCCCTTCAAGCACTCTGCCTTTTCCCTTTAATTCCTTTCTAGGAGACATTTCGTTATCCTTGGGTATTTTAGAGGTTCAGATGCTTTTCAAGGCATCCCCAGTTATTGATCTCCAGGGGTCTGTCTTCTCACATGAAAGCTGTCGTGGTAGTTTACAAAAATTAGTGACAGCTTCTGTGGGATCTTTACGGACCGACAGTGGTTGAGCAGCTGACATTTGGGAGTCAGAGCATTTTCATATGTCACTGCTGCTGAGATGCGTGTAGACTGGAATGTGCTGGATGCCTTGTGCTTCGGGTTAGAAAATGTAAATCATGAGGTTGCAGTTTATGCAGAAAAAATTGGGGCTTTTAGATACTTTCCACCTGTCCTTTCATTTTGTTTTGCCCCTGGGAAAAAGCCTGAAGGGAATGAAGATCTAGAGTCAGTTACAAATGACAGATTTATCTACTCATAATCTACTAAATGTCTTCCTTGTAATCACAGCTTTAAAATACAAGGCTGAGAGCACTGGATGAGCTCATTTAATCACCTTCAAAGTGCACATGGATAGACTACTGTCAAATATTTTACTCTGTATTGCAATGTAATGCATTAATTCTGTCTCTTCACCCCCCCACCTCCACCCCCTTGACATGCTGGCACAGCATCCAACATCAACAGATGGGTCTGGATACCTTTTTTTTTTTTTTCCTTTAGATCTTTTCAGTTAATTTTAAGATTAAATTTGGGGTAGAGATCATGACTGTTGTTTCACATAAGAAACAAGTTTACTTGATCGAGTTCATAGTTGAGATCCAACCTGGGGCCTTATGCTTACTAGGCAAGCTGCTGAGCTAAATGGCAACCCCTAATTTTTTTATTTTTAAAATAACAATATTTCTCCCAAACAATAGAGCAGTTAGTAAAAAACAAAACAAAACAACAACAAAAAACCTCAGCAAGATAGATATCCACGCTATCAGACATGTTAGTGTGTTTTGAGTACATTTGCTTTAAGAGCAAATGAACTTACTGTGTTTGAGCTGAGGTCTACTTCATGTCTCCCCCAAAAGTCAGTGTTTTCAAAAGAAAAGTAATATCTAGCGATATGTCAATTTTGGGTCCTTTTAGAGAAATAGTACATATTTGAGGTGTACAACATGCTCTCTCTCTCTCGCTCTCTCTCTCTCTATATATAGATGTGCATATATGTACATACACATATAGTGAAATGATTACTACAACCAAGAAAATGAACACACCCATCATTTCTTTATAGTTATGTGATGTTTGCATATGGGTTATTCTATAAGCCCCAAAGAAGTAGGTAGGGGCATAAAAAACATAGTTTAATGAAAAGGTAACAAAGTAAATAGGAACTATGTCCTTGACTTCAGCACTCAGAACAGCAGCTGGCTCAGAAGATATATACATTTGGACAGGTGCAGAGGGACACACATACACTCACTCACACAGCCAGGAGGGGGCATCTGCTCACATTCCACAGAGAAAGATTCTGTGTAAATGAGACTTTTTTTTCATTTCAAGTGTCTTGAGTCATTTTTCCAATTATCAAGCTATAGAAAATTCCCAAATTTTAATTTCCACCTAAAAAATGTCTCAGTTGACTTCCTCATCACTGTAGTTACTTTCATTTCCTTTCACTAAAGATCAAATTTTGCTAATTAGTAAGTCATCAGTGTGGTCTGATGTCAGACCACAAAAGCACCTTGGTAGCATGGAACCACTCTGTCGTGGCATGTTGTCATCATTGGAAACAGTGAATTACAGTGACTTACACACAGGGCAGATCACATCTAAGGAGCTGAAAATGGCTCAGCATACCTGCATGTCTCTCTCCAGCTGCAGTAGGTGGTACCTGTGCCACGTGAGAAAAGCCGGCCCCTCATGAGAGAAATCCACATCCCCAAAGCTCTCCTGCCCGAACCCAAGGAAAGTTTTTTTGACTGAATAATAATGTGTCCAAACAAAGTAGTTATAAATGGAAATGTTCTGGAACTGTGGTGTACTGCCATCTGTTCCCAGTATGTCTTCTGACCTCCTCGTGGCAATGACAAATTGAGGGTGAGTTGTTCGCTTTGCCATGTCCAGGGCCCTGATGAAGTGATTCTTTTCTTCTGTACTCAAGTCGAGAAGATTTCTCCTGACTTTAAAAGAAAGATTAAGACATGAAAACATCTGCCTTGTAGAGATGGTAGCACTGATTGTGCTAATTTATCCATTAATGATCAGCCTCATTTATCCATTAATGGCTACACGTGCACCTGTTCAAACCTGCTACAAGTTATTTTACTGGTGGAGCATCATTTCCAATGTTCTTGGGATCAGGTGTTTTGGAGTTTTAAAAAATTATTATTATGTTGAAATAGTTGCTTATACATGAGGTATTTGAGGGGATTGGATCCACAGTTAAATGTAAAGTTCATTTGTTTTCTGTACACACAGCCTGAAGATAGTTTTAGACCACAGTTTTAATGAATTTGTGCTTAAAACAAAGCTTGACAAAGCTGAGCATGATGGAGTATACATTAATCCCAGCACGTGTATCTCTGTGAGATCGAGGCCAACCTGCGTTCTACATAGTGAGTTCCAGACTAGCTGGGGCTATAGGGAGACCTTGTCTTAACCCCCCCACCCCCCAAAAAATCTACGAAAACAGAAATAAATAAGAAATAAAACAAATTACCAAAAACACACAAAGCATAAAATTGTGGAAGTTTCCATTTGTGGCATCATTTTGGGGCTCAGAAGTTTTTGTTTGGAGCATTTCGGATTTCCGGATTAGGGAGCCATTGAAATCGTCTCAAGCCTGGCATTCCTCCTCCTCCTTCTCCCTTCAGTTTGCTGCTGGCTTTCCAAGATTTCTTTAATCTTACCTGAGGATGCATGTGACACTGTCTTATTTATTTCTGCTCATTACTGGTGGTTTTTTTCTTGGAATTTTTTCCTTTTTAAACATCATAAGCCTTGTAAAACAAGGTAGATGGCATAGGATAGTGGTCAAACCAGAGACCGTTTTGTGTCCTTTAGAGCAGTTTCCTAGACCCAATTTTCATACTTATGATATTGGGATATAAAGAAAACCTGCTTTACAAAAATATTAAAATTAAAGAGCACACTTGTAAAAGCAATTAGATCAAAGCTTAGATCATAACAAAGTTTCAAAAGATAGTCTGTGACTGGGGATGGAGAGATGCCTTAGCAGTTAAGAACACTTGCTGTTCTTCCAGAGGACCTGGGTTCGATTCCCAACACCCACATGGCAGCTAATAACTGTCTGTAACTCCAGTTCTGACCTCTGTAGACTTTGCACAACACGACAAGGATGCACTTACAAATACATGCAGACAATACACTCATATACATAAAATAAAAATAATAAATAAAACATTTAAAATAAAAAAGCTGTCTAGCACAAGGAGAGCAACCAAGGGCTGTTGCTGTTTCTATTTAATACTACACAGACCTGCCTCTTCATCTTAAATACCTGAGTTCCATCATCACTGGAGGCCATCAAGGCTACTTTAAGAACAGAATTGTGAGAGTGAGATAGATCTCAATGGGAATTCCTTGTTTACAAAGCACCAGTGTGAGTTTGACCTTCCTGAATGTAATCTACAAGGATTAGCATAAATGCCTCTAGTCCTAACGATCTTGCACAGTTCCTTTAAAGTGGCTGTCTAACAGCTGTTTTAGAAGGAAATACTGTGTGTGGTGGGGTAGGGATGTCCACTGATGTCCAGTGTCCTCCATCTCTCTCTGCCCTTAATCCTTTGAGACAGGGTCTCTCACTGAACCTGGAGTTCATCATTGTTTTTGACAAGACTGGTGGCCTTCAAGCCCCATGGAGCCTCCTTTTTCTGTAACCCAGTGCTGGGTTTACAGTCCCATGTGGCCCTACCCCACTTCTTATGAGGGTACTGGGGAATCTGAACTCAGGTCCTCATGCTTAGACAGCAAGCACTTTTGCCCACCAACTAAGCCTCCCCACAGCCCTATGGAAATACTATTAGTTAAAAGATCAGAGTTTCAATCCCAAACCTTTATACCAGACAAGTTTCTTAACGTTCCTAAGCTTCAATTTGCCCAGTTGGGAAGAGGATTGCACTCTACGATTTACAGGTATTCCCTGCTTTAAACGGTTTAGGATTCAGTGGACGATCCTGAGTCACATCCAGGCCCTGGCTGATGCATCCCACCCCCTTCTCCTTTTACCTGTGAGAAACTTCTGGTTGCACGTAGCTCCTCTCCAGCCGGGACGGCATGTCCCACAGTTGTGTCCTGAGAAATTGCCGTTGCACCGGCACGTTCTGTTGAAGAATTTCAGAGGCCAGCCCTCCCGGTCATCTCTGCCGTCGTGGGGGTAATGAGGGCTGTGGGGTCGGGAGTCTGCAGTCACAGCCTCACACCTGCCCCTCCCTGATGATGAACCACAGGGGTCAGTTCCAGGCCCAGCGGAAGGAGAGAGGTCTGGGCAACACACCCCACTTCTCAGAGCCTCAACATTGGCACATTCTCGTGGAAATTGAGCCCAAGCCTGCTGATAAAGCATCAGGGGGAGTAAAATAGATCCCAGAGAGAGGACTTGGTCAGATTTCATTCTTCTGGATTTAAGAGTGCAAGAAACAGATCTAGTCTGCAGCTCTTTGCATAGAGGAGACTGGGGCAGTTAGCTAAAAATCCAACTGGAAAAAGAAAGCAAAATGGAGTTATGCAAGTTCTTTTTCCCAACCCACTCCAAAATGTAAATCTTTCATCTAAAAATGACATCTCCAAACAATAATTTACCTTTAAGTATTTGTCATGCTTAGTGCCCAGGTCCCCAAATTCATTCTTGTATTTGAGGTTTCTGCATTTTAAGCGTCTGCTCATAAAAAATACCCTAGGGCTGGAGGTATGGCTCAGCTCTTAAGCACACATACTGCTTTTGCAGGAGACCTGAGTTTGATTCCCAGCACCCAACTCAGGCAGTTCACAACAGCCTGTTGTGCTGGCTGCAGGGGATATGTCATCTTTACACTCCTGGGGAGCCCACATTCACATGCACAAACCCACACGGAGATACACACACATACACACAACTAAAAAATAAAACAAACCTATTAAAACTACTTAATCCTAAGTGCTATTTATCAAAAGCGTTCACTAGCAGGTGACTACCACTGGTAACATTTAACCATGGACCTGAAAGGAGAATTGGGAGCAGGCTTTTGGCAAGCAAATTTCCCCAAAGAACACTTTATCTTAGCGGAGTTTTGACCAGTCCACCGGCTTCCCACAGAGCTGCTCACCAGGGCTTCTGATTCCTGAGTGGCTTCTGGGCCTTCACTACCAGCCTTGTGTGTTTGTTTGTCTCCTAAGGCCAGCTGTTAACTGCATGTGGATTTCTTCCAGACAGCAAATCCCAAGCCAGATCACCCAAACTAGGAGGGGCTGGTCCTCTGCTCCAGCCCACACTAATCCCTTCTCACACCAGTGAATTCTTCTGCCCTTTAACAAGGCCTCAGCACATGACTGCCTTCCCACTGATTTCCTTGTGATAAAGTTTTAAGGAAAGGTCAGACACACTAATTTGGAAGATGTGTTAGAAACACTAAAGAACTTCTGTTTTTGTTGTAGTGATTTCATTTTTTCTCTGTCTGTACACCACAAAGGATGTAACAAGATGAATTACTTTCTCAGTGACACAAAAACCAGGCCGGTACTTATATCCAGTGGTAGTTTTGGGTTGTGCTCTGTTAAAGAGGCATTTTCTTTAGAAGACCCATGAGTATGTAGTCAGCATTCACATGTAACCCTGTTAGGAATGCAGTTACTGTACAAAGCTTACTGTAATTCATGATTTGGCTGCCTTTTCAATTCTAAGATATGAAAGTGTTCAGAAAGCTACATGAAATAACTAAACATGCAGTTAATAAACAAAAGGCAACAGGATAGGTCTATAAATTAAGGTAAGAAAGAATTAAGGGTCTCCTCTGTTGATAGTCTCCTGTCTATGCTGTCAAATTGATCTGTCACAGCCAGCATTATATCAAACTGTGCTTAGTACGATATGTGCCTGTAAGTCTAAAGTCATTTTATTATTTTTCAGCTTTTACTCAACTATGAATATAACCTGTTAATGTGTATACACACTAGGATATTTCTTTAAATGCTTAAAAAACCGAGAACATTTCTTATTCTGTACATAGGGGGCAGTGCTATGTTTTGTGAGTCACAAGGCTGTTAGAATCACAAAGATGACACCATTCCCAACTAAGTGGGCTTCCATGACTAGACTTTTGTCACTGACATGTTTCTAAAGTGTATTTGAGTTGCTGCAGCAAAATCTTATTGTTTTTTAAATGGCGACTTGATATATCATTCTAATATCTATTTCCCCATTCTCCATTTGTTGGACTTTTGGGTTCTTTTTCCGCATTTTTTGTTTTATGAAAAATACTGCTGTAAACAGTCTGTTGAACACATACACACCCACAGAAACACACACAGACACACACGTATCTTCATGACAAATATCTGTAAAAGGGAATTGTTAATCATAAGGTTCGGGAATACATATCAAGTAATTTTAAGTTATTTATAAATCATTTATATTGCTTTACATTTTCACCAGCAGTGCTCACAGTGTTTATCAATTCACAAACTGACTAGCATTTAGTTTTAATAGACATAATTGTCAGTTTTACATGTAATTGTCTACACTTACCCTCAGCTTCACTTTCTGTGGTTTCAATTATTTGTAGTTAGCTGGTTTGAAAATATTAAATAGAAAATTCTAGAAGTAGTTCACAAGCTTTAAATTGTGTGCCATCTATGTAGAATGATGAAACCTCACCCCAACCATCTGGTCATGAGTTGTCTATACTCCATGATTCCACTTTGTGTGTACTTCTCATTCTCTACTTGTTGCTAGGACGTTGCTCTGACTTCTGTCATCTCCCTGGTCCTTGAGGTCTCCATCAAATGAATGCAGATGAAATCAGAGAACAGGACTAAAACACAGGCAGGGTTTATTAGATCTTGACAAGCAGCAACAAGCAAAGTGAGTGGGCAATGATCAAAGGGCCATTGTGGAGATAAGTGCTCTCACCAGGTGAGATGGACAATGGCCAAAGGGACCAGTATATGAACCTACATACTCTCCCACTGTTGAATTTTCTGAAAGTTTCTGGAAGTCAGCTTCCTGAGGGGTGCTTTCCTGCCAGGGGATCAACAGGTTCATTTAGATGAATTCTTAAGGGAGGGGACAATGCTATGCCTGTTCTTTGCTTGAAAACCTCCAGCTATGTAGTCATCACATGCTCTTTTACATAGTTTAGGATGTCATGTCTCTACTCAGGGGGAGAGATACAATTCAGATCCCATTGTTTTGAGCAATTATCAAAGTCCTGTAGTTTCAGTTCCTGGCTTTACAAACTGTTGATTATGGAAGAGTGTTCATCCCCAGAGACTTCCCAGCCTGCTGATGTCTGAGTAGGTACCTACCAGAGTCAGTTTTGTATCAGAGGTTACCTGGCAATCTATGGCACTATTGAGATGCTTGGGTGGGTCCGGATAAGCTTTATTTATTTACTGATGGCCTCTCAGTGCCACAGTCCTGATGCTGAAGGAGGCCTAAGAGTGCTACTTTTAACAGGAAAAAAAAAAAAATAGAAGGTTTTACTTAATCAGAAAGAAAAAAAATGTTGAGGTTTCTAAGTTCTAGGGTAAAAATGTCTAAGACAAAACATAGCAGGTTCTGTACAAGGGGTGATTTAGCCATACTCTGGGAGGTGTGGAATGTGACCTTCAGATGGTAGAAAGCTAGTGCACATCCTAGATTCTGTCCTCTAGATAAATTATCATAAAACACTAATTAATGGCTATATGTTTCATGAATATCAGTATTTTTTTGATGAACTTTAGCCTCAGATTGATTCCTTATGTGTGTGTGTGTGTGTGTGTGTGTGTGTGTGTGTATACAGCATTACTATGGCAACATTATGATCACCTGAACAAAAAGCCTAAATCTTAAATTTTTGAAGCTGGCCCAGATTCAGAGGATGCCCATTCCCTGAGATGTCTCTTGGAACTACGCCGATGGAATTGTCTGGCCAGAACTCTGTCCCTGAAACTGTGTTCTGGGGTCTGGTCCCATCCATAATTTTATTCAAAATGGTTTCTCCAGCTTAATTGGGGAAGCACAAGCTTTGTGCCACCCTAATCTTAACAGACCATCTGCCCTTTCATTCCTAGTTCTAGAATAGCTCTTTCATCCAAGGTCACATACCCTTCTCTATCTTCATCCTGTACAATAGAGATGAAGTGCTGCCCTTAGTGCTTTGATGTTAGTTCTCAGGCATAATCTCATTCATTCATTCATTCATTCATTCATCTTTTTGGTGGAGTACCAAACTGAGGTTCCCAGGAAACAAGATCAGGTGCCCAGGTCACAGGACACAAGAGCACATGGTTTTTGCTGGGGGTTAATTAAAAGTTATCAGTCCATATTATGTCCATGTACAAAAGCCATTCCTATATTTGTGTGCTTTTTCTTGTGGGTACACTGTGCACATGTATGTGCTGGAGACCAGTGGTCAATCTCAAGTGTTGTTCCTCAGATACTGTCCACCTTGTTAAAAACAGGGACTTGGGGTTAGGGAGATGGCTAAGCAATTAAGAGCACTAACTTCTCTTCCATAGGATCTGGGTTTGATTCCCAGTATCCACATGGTGGCTAACAATCATCTGCAACCACAGTTCCAGGAAATCCAGCATTCTCTCTGGCCTCTGGGGGGCTTTGCATGACATGGATGCACTTACATTCATGCAGGCAAAACACTCATACACATAAACAATTAAAATAAAAACAGAGTCTTTCATTGACTTGGAGGTCACTGATTAGGCTAGACGGGTTGTCCTGTGAGCCCCAGGGATCCCCCTCTCTTTCCTCTCACTTCCTTAGTACTGGGGTTACAAGTGCACACTACCACTGCTGGCTCTTTTACATGGGTTCTGAGGTTTGGACCAAAATAAGAGCCCACTCCCTTTCCTTTGTATGTGTTTTTTGATCAGAATATACCCTGTTTTCTTGGAAATGGAATTTTCAGACTTGTTTTCTTACACACTGTCCTAGTTTGTTTCTTCATTGCTGTGACAAAATACTCTGACTACTACCAACTTGGGGAGGAAAGGGTTTATTCAGCTTATATCTCCCAGGTGACAGTTCATCAGGGAGCCCAAGGTAGGAACTGAGGGCAGGAACCTGGAGGCAGGAGCTGGAACACAGGC